TCGCCTCTCGCGCTGAACGCAAAGTCGGTTTCCTATTCCAAACAAAGCGTTTCTTTACACCCCAAAACCTTCACCTTCTATATAAATCTCAAATCCGCCAGATACTCCAATGGTGCAGTCACGTGTGAGGTGGAGCTTCGTATTTCGCATTTTCTCTCCTCAAGCGTGTTCAACGTAAGGCCATCTTGCAGATCGACGAATCGTCTTTGACTTACAACCTGCAGTCGCTTTCCCATCGCCGAGCTGTTGCTTCGTTATCTCTTTTCTATCGTTACTATTTTGATTTCTGCTCTTCCAAACTCGCCTCAGCGGTTCCTCACCCATTGACCTTTTCTCTTCCATCCCGTTCTCCTCAGATGTCGAACTTTTCTTTTACTCTTCTTTTTTTCCCTAGGACTTCAAAATTGTGGAACACTCCTCCGATTCCCGTGGTCCCCAGCACTTATAGTCTTACTCATTAAAAGCAGGATTAACAATTGATTCTCACTTGAGTGTTACCCCACATACCTTCTTTCTCTCTTACTGCATGTTACTGATTATGGGGTATACCCTTTCTGCTGTAAATCACTTCGTGTATAATAATTGAAAAACGTGAAACGTTGCATCACTTACCGATCGGATAGTGAAATCGATCCGTATCCAGAACGACACTCTCTACATTGGCAAACAGTTCTTCGAACATCGTAAACAGAGCACGTGCAGTGATCATTCCATGCAAAGCACCAACGAAAACGGAGTACAGTTTTTTACCTCTAGCTGGACTATCAGTGATCAGGTCGATGGATTCCCGGTACAAAATTGGAGAGAAAATTGGAACAGGAAGCAATACAATTCGAGAAACTCCTCAAAATGAAGCAACGTAAGCATTATCTTAACCAAATTTGCTGCTGTTTAGCCTGCTACTTTATAACTATTGTGTACACTTCTTCCCTCGAAAACAGTTTCTATTTTATTGCGGTGGAAATGNTGTTTGTGATAACCGAAAAATAGCACTAGACAGCTGTTTCGTTCTGTTTGGGACTCTTCAGCAGTGTGTACTTCTTTTGTCCCTGTAAGGACTCAACCCGCGAACCTTGGCGTTGGGACTTCAAACCCTTACCCCTGAGCTATATGGTTGACGATCATCAACTTGTGCGAATGGTTCACTCAATTTAGATGATGAATGTTTAGAGTCGCTCATTAGGTTTTTCATAGGCACCAGGCACTGTTGATTATCAACAGTTCCTATTGCGGTTGGATTAAAACAACTCAGTGAAGAGCACAAGAAACATCAGTATGCTCAAATAAATTCATTGGCTATATTCTTACAACATAAATACGTGTAATAAAAGGGCAAATTCCATTCATAGAACAACTCAAGGTAGAGGAGACAATTGAGTGAGAACAAGTTAACTAATTCTACTTTTTGAAGGACAAATCAAGTGCATCACTTCGCATCTGTCGTAATATGCATTTCTTTATTAGTCGAACTTTAGATTTTATTTCTCATCAAACAGAAAGAAATTGTGAGCAATCATTGGTTCTGAAGAATCGGAAGGGAGTATAAGATGGCCGGTGTTTTAGGGAAATGAAGAGAGAAAAGCGTTCAGAATTATGATTCCTCAGACTCAAACGGCAATGAACATGCTCTGGAGAGCATTTGAAATTTATAGCAAGATAAATAAAAGTAACTTCATATAATTCCCTCAAGCTAAATGTAATTAAGTTGGTTACTAAATATTGTGCCCTAGTCATAACGCCAGGCTATCATTGAACATTGTTATAGAATATTTTTCTTACATCTTACCAAGTTCAGAATAACAAGTATATAAAAAGACTATAAACAGCTAATTCTATTTAAACTTACCCTAAAATGAGTTATAGTTAACTATCCTGGGGGAGTTTCAATGCGATGAGATCAGAGTGTAAAGCTAGTTCATACCTCATAGCCAGTACAATACGTTTGCGGTCTAAACAAAGTGGTTTTGTTTGGTGAGACTAACCTGGTCCGCAGAGGTTCTCCCAACTCTACCTGCTTACCACGGTGAGTTGCATGCATTTCCGAGTCGGTCCGATCCCATGGGATGATTTGAATTGATTCCAACTGACTGAGTTTCAGTTCAGGACAGACTGTGGTTAAATTCATGTAAAACCCTTTGTTTCGGCGCTGGCAAGTGGCCAAGAGGAGAGCTACGCTATTAGAATCCTTGAATGTAGCGTAACAATGACCTGATAAAAATAGACATTGCGACAAATAGATAGATAGAAGAAGGTGTAAATAGATGAAACCCAATCTTTCTATAAACAATATTCTGCTGAAAAGTACACTATGCGTCATCAATTTTTACTCTCATAGACGACGACAAAAACGGAATTAAAGCCAAAAACCACTCGTTCAAGAGGGTGACCAAAATAAAGTCTGAAAATTTCAACGTTCTCTGTTGATTAGATCAATACAGTATAGCCCATCGAAGGAATGATTACTCACCCCTTTTCACCTTGAACTGAGATCCATAAGGGTAGTAAAAGCACGTCGACGATTGTACTGTGGTTCCCTTTGGCCATTTTAACGTCACACAACCGAACATCTCAAGGCCGCGTTGTAACTGATCACGTACGACCGTAGTTACTTGCTTTCCAATCATGGGCACACCACCTAGAAATACCTTGAGGGACAGACGGTGGATGATTGCATTTGGTTGGCGAGTGATACATTGCAGTGCCTGTGGACCCGTGAGATGATCCTGAAGAATTCGTGATGGACCCACTAGGTCAGAAGACAAATCGAACCACAATAATTTTCCCAAGTTTTGTGAGTAATTTGTGGAACAGTATGCGGTATCTACAAGGAAGCGAGAGTTCAAGGACGATGGAAATTCTCAGCACTATTAAAGGCTTTATAGAAATTAGATAGACGAATTGAGAAGCACTCGTGAGATATTTCATCTAAATTATGGTGCAGAAAAGTGAAAACATGAGAAAAAAACCACCTTTTGAACTCAATGAATATGGAAGGAATATGAAAGGAGAAGCCAAAACACAGGTTTGCACAATGTATTTTGGATCATTTTCCTGCATCTGTACACGTACATACTGCAGTTTATGTGATCATTAATATGTGATCAGCTGCGTATTAGGCGTAAACCGCGTGAATGGCTTATCACTCTGGCGCTACCTTAGTAACTTATGTTTGTTGAGTAATTTTGACCGCACTCTTTCTCCGCCTATGATTCTGTTATTTACTGACCATATACTAATGATCACATAGACTGCAGTATGCACGTGTACAGACGCAGCGAAATGATTGTGCAAACCTGTTTTGGAGCCGACGCTTTATCATAGCAAACATGTAAAACGCAAGTTAAAATAGTTCACAAAACTCTACTGTTCAACTAGAGGTAAAGAATAAAAGCGGTGGAATTTGTAAGATTGAACCTCCTAGTTTCCAAATTAATGAGATAGTTTTGAGTTTTATTCTGAACGAAAACAATCCTGCATAACGCTCAGGTTAGGTGAACGGAGCTGCATCATTGAACCTTAGATCCCGTACCCCGCCTTAGACACAGACACAGTTTGATCACCTTTGGTTACTAATCCTTCACAGTTTTCATCTAGTCACGATTACTCCCCAAAATTATCGTTCTCTTATTCGCGACCTGAGCACGTTTCTTTTGACATACAGCTACGTTAGTTGTACTACGCCTTCGTCCGGATATCTATCTAAAATCAACAACTGTTGGGCTTAAATGTTTTTTCTATCCTGGTAGTATAAATGACTCTCCTTCATCACAATCGTTTTTCTTCACGTTTTTATTTTGCTGAACTCAACGAGCGTTACTTGACCACGCTTTCATCTTAGTCATTTAGCGCACCGTGCGATGATGCTGTATTATACGCTCAAATAGAGCTTGTTCTGGTGGCTCACTCTGCATTCGTCTACGGGGCTGTTGTTGTGACCGCGCTGTCTTGTTGATCAACCTTTAAATCACGTGGTCAGTGTCACCCTCGGTTTAAAGCGATCAATTAAGATGCGCACGTGAACGGAGTTGATCGACCTCAAAGCAATCCAAAAAGAATCGTATCTTGAACGGATACTAGATTGAATCCTTTTGGTGCTTTTAATTGTGTGCATCACAGATTGTATTTTAATAATGGAAGAAACAAAATTATAATTAATCCAGGCACACATTTTTTCTAAAGTTTTATATCAGATAATGGATGATTTTTGTATGATCAAACAGTAATGACACGATCAGTTTCGTCATTGCTCACATCCTTGCAATGTACCATTCGGTATCGATTTCGGCACCAGAACACTAAGGCACTTCCTTTATCTCGTTATCGGAGCATTTGGGCTTCGAGTGCACTTAGTCGTTACGACTTACCTGCCGAAGCGCGATAGTTCAAAGCAGCGCGCTCAATATGAGCATACTTCTCAATCACAGGCTGGTAAGAACAAGCCAGTTTTAGCACACTTGTCTGGTATTCGACCGGATTGATGCGTTGTGCTGTACTCTCCTTCTCATACCCATTGATATTTGCGTCACTCAGGATTGAGCATGAATGAACATTTCGAATTTGGCCTATGGATTCATCACCAAAGCATGTGGGATTTAGCAAGGAACGGGAGTTAGTTTCTGAGTNTCAGATCGGCCAGATTCAGTGACAAATCCTGTACGGTATGTAGCCCGAATATTCTATTTGAATAACCTGGAAAAGTATGGGTAAACATGAAGTTAAATAGATAGTAAGATCAATAACATATAATATTTTACATGATAATGAAATTCATTGGTCTGTCTGGAAGAAAAATATCCGCTGCATGGTTTGCTTTCGCCATATAACCATCGGATTTCCTTACATCAATTAAAAAACTGGCGTAAACACAGTCAAAATAATTTGCATCGTCATGGATCATATATGTCTATTTTGTGTGACCTCTTTTATACTACTTCCTTCAGGTTACTCGCTCCTGCGTGGGTAAATTGATTACGCAGATTAGATGACGAAGAACCTAAAGAGTTGAGTACTACTCGACCTTTCACTTCTTGGACTCCAAAAGCCCCGATATGTTACAACTAGTGTCTTGGGTCATCCCTCCCTCGCGTTCCATTAAACACTCTCTAAGCAGTGCCTTCACGCTATTGAGGTAGTTTCCTTACAAATCGAGAGGAGCTATAACCGGTGTCTGAACCATCTGTAATATGAGGATTTTAAGAATCCCTGACTGGAAACTATGAACTGAGAGAAGTACATGACCCTGTTTATGAAACAGGTTCATTGCTCATTGAGATGCATTGTGTACCTTGCGTGTTTGATGGCGTGACGGCCTGATCCGAATGACCGGACGTCGGCCAGTGGATCACTGTTGTTGGACAACACCAGCAGCATTTCAGGTTGTTTCCGTAATCAGTATTCACCCCCGAAACTAATCATATATTGATTCTCTTTCTTATAAAGAACGGCGTGTGCGACGTTTCTTCCTACATAACTTCTGTAAAATGTCGGTGGTTTACTTCAGTGACATGCATACGTTCGTAGATGTCCTCAGTATGGTCAGGGGGTAGGTGTCTAGGGTTGCGGCTGGTCACCCTTCCCTTGCAACTCGCGAAATGCTCCCATACAACCAAGCGTCTCAGATTGTCTCTACTGAAGAAGGCCTATTCATTGCCTTCTCGTGGCTGAGGCGTTTTCCCGACATCCGGGACTGTAACCTAGTTGATGGATCACTGGAAGTTCGTCTAGGGAAGTTGGCCAAAAACCCTGAATCAAAACCAACCAAGAGGAGGCGCACAAACCATACCTACACCTTTTAGGTTGTGGCAATGGTCACCGGCTCAGTTGGATACCGAGGTGTAATGGACACCCTGGAATTTCAACCTCGTCCGAAGGGTGTATGGTCTGATGAACCGTTCACCAGCTCCCAATGGATTTCGGTTTTCACACACTGCTCAGCTGCCTTGTGGGTCAGACTTTGGTTAACCGGAGGCTCCGGTTGTGGATCCCTAAAGAAAATTCGCCTAACTTAGCCTGGACGACCTGTCCGTATTGTGCCAACATGCAAATCGTGAAACGTTTTTCTTTTTTATAAAGATTATTGTACCATTATTTGTTTGGCATATAGTCTGGCCTGAGACAGGTGTGAAAAATAATATGATAATATAGATATCCTGGAAAACAAATGTAGCATAGTGACACAAGTACAGTTATATAACATCCAATTGTGATTCTAATTATTTTTTGGCAAAAGATAGCACAAGACATTTGTATTCGGAAATCTAAAGTTTAACCTGGTGATCAACGAGCAGATGTAAGAATAAGACCTGTCGGGACCACAATATCTCGGCTATACATACGGACTACCTAAGATCCACAAGGATGGGGTACCGTTGCGCCTATTTTTGATTAGTAATTAGCCGTACCACACTCGGACAAAGTGAATAGCCGATCTCCTCGAAACAGTCAGAAGAGACATCGCTAAGTTCAGTCTACGAGNCGAGACTCTCTTGATTTTGTCAATCACATTGCACCAATCAACTTAACCAATAAACAGATGTTCTCGCTGGATGTGACCTCATTATTTACCAATATGCCACTCCAAGAGACCATTAAATTCATCGCTAATTATATAGAAAGTTAGGGAAATTCTGTCGGACTACTGCCCGTAGCTGAGCTCAAGAGGCTTCTTTATCTTTGCACATTTTAATGGTGCGACAGAAAGACGGAATAGTCATGGGTTCCCCATTAAGAACACTATTAACAGACATTTTCATGGCTAAATTAGAAAACGGAGTACTGTCAAAACCCATAGAAGAACCACCCTTCTACAAACGATATGCGGATGGCATCACATGTGTATACGATACTGACAAGGATGCTGATATTCCGTTGGAGAAATGCAATAGAGCTCATCCGAAAATAGAGTTTATGCTAGAAAAGTAATCCACAAATGGTCTCGCATTTCTAGACGTGTTGCAGTCTTGACGATCAGGTAGCTCTATCCGTAGAAGAATTCACCATAAGAAAACATGGATTGGGCAGCAAACATACTACCACAGCTTCGTTCCGTTGGAACAGAAGAGAAACGTGATTCGCTGCTTCCCCAATAGAGTTGGGAAACGTTGTTCTTAGGACTCTGTCGAGTCTGAACTGCAAAGAATACGAGATGTTTTCGTAGAGAATGGATATCCTGAGTCATTCATCCATAAAAGTGACATCATATCCCTCCAAGAGATTGCGCGGCACAGCAACTAAGAAGCGTGTCTATCCATCCCATTCAGGGGAGGAACGACCGCGAAAGTATTGCGTAGACGAATTCAATTTTCCATCAAAGTCACTTACTCAGCGGCTGAATCCTGCGTTATATTCACGTTCAAACCGGTTTTGTTTATGCAAACTAAAGCTAATACACCCCCGGATGCAACCTCATTTCATGTTTATCAGTTCACCTGTTCCTGTGGAGCAAGTTATGTGGGTCGAATGGTGAGGCTTCTGTCTGATTGTGTCAAGGAGTATCACCCCGTTTGGTTGAACCAGGGATTGACAAGGATAGGGGCGACGGCAATTACGATCCATTTGACTGAGTCTGATCAAATAGTCAATGTGCTTGAGGCTTTCCGTCTACACGGTCATGGGTAGGTTATCCAAAGAGGTCAAGTTCAGAATTTTGTCAACAGCTGAGGCGATTGTCATCCGTCTCCACACACACCCTTGCGGGCCCAGAAGCAGTTTGTAAGAACATTGGTCCTACCATGGCCATCCACTAACAATCTGGTGACGTAACCTCCGTTTATGATCAACCACTCATTTATCTACCCGCCCATTCACAACCACTCTCACTTTCCACGCACATACACAC